CATTGAATCCACCTGACAGTTGCTACTATACAACAATGAATAAAAAAGCTAAAATTTTCACCTTGGTCATTTTTTAGCCCAGCTGAGAGGAATGAATAGATAATCAAGCAAACATTATACAGTGTATTATATGTCATTGCAGGGGAGCTGTATAGATCTGGTAGGAAACACTTTGCTCAGACATAAGAGTGTTTGAGGGGAATGGCTAGAAGGAACAACATTGCGCTGAGAAATTGGGGAATGATTGAAGCATTCAAACTGTGGTCCTTGAACCAGTAACTGGATTGGCATTATCTGGAGCCCCACCTCAGATCTACTGTATCAGAAATTCTTGGGATGTGACCAGCAATCTGTGTTTTATAAACCCCCTAGGTGATTCTGATGTAGGAAACCACTGTTGTCATTGATGCTGAGAACTGGAGATGAGAGAGCACAGCATATTAAAGCAGAGTTTAAGCAGAGAGTTTGAAGTCATCAATAGCTTGAGTTGAGGCAGGGAAGTCCTGATAAGATAGTTGAAGAGCTTAGCACATTTGTAAACCACTGAAGTGTTTTTGGTAGGAGAATAGATTGCTTAACTTTCTCTTTTAGAAATATCACTAGAGAAGAGATTAGAGCTGAGTAGAAAAAACACTTAGGAAGCCAGTGTGGCAGTAATAGCAATGTTTATGAGGATGGAATAAGGTAGATAGGTCAGTTAGATATTTAGAAAATAGAATTTCTAAGGTTTGGTTATGGATATAAATATGAGGATGACTGAAAAGGAAGAAGTCTCATGTTTAGCACTCAAGCCAATGGCAGTTTTCTACTCTCTTGGAAAGAGGATATAGGAGGAGCACATTGGGGATCATGGAAAAGATTATGAGTTTGAGTTTGGTTTTTCAATATTGCAACTAAAGTAGTGATGAGATAGTCAATAAAGTTATTAGTAGACAATTCAACATTTACATGGGGCTCAGGAAGGAATTATGATTAAATATGTAGAACTGGGAATATTTGGGTTATGTACAGTAATTGAAATCTTGGGGATAAATTAGATAACTGTGGAAGTTTATTGAATAAATGAGAGGATAAATAATGCAGAACACATTCTTACTGGGCAGAGGAAGAGGAACTCTAAAAAATGGCCAAGACAAACCAGCCAGAGAGAATAGTTAAAATCCAAGAGACTGGGATGACATGAAAGCCAAGAGAAGAGAATTTTCCCAGATGATCCTTTCCATTGTGTGTCTGATGCTTTGGGGAAGGAAAGGAGATAATTGAAAGTTTGTTAGAATGGCCACTCAAAGATGCCAGTGACTTTGGAGAGTTACATAGATCTTATCTTAGATACTTTTCTTTTTGGTGAGACAAAATACCTGATACCCACAAGTTAAGGAAGAAAGGCTAATTTTGGCTCACAGATTCTAAAGTTTTCAGTCTAGAATCAGCTGGATCCAAGGCAGGGTGGCATAGCATTAGGTCATTACAGAAGAGAAATAGTTTATGGCACGGCAAGCAGAAGGCAGCAAAAGCAGCAAGCAGCAGAAACAGCTTGCCTTCCCTCTCTCTCTTTATATTCCATCCAAGCTATAAATCTATTGATTGGTGACACCCACACCCAGGGCGGGGCTTCCATTATCCCCACATGGAACTATGCTAATTCCAATCAGTACACCAATTTAGTACCACACACCCTTCATCCCAGTATCACAGATCCTAAATCCAGCCAGCTCTGAAAAGCCCCACCTATGAGCTTATAAGGATTTGGGGGACATCTAGATACAAATCATAACAAACCTCAAGAAGTTGACTAGAAGTGAATTCGATAGATTGGTGGGAGTAGAAGCAATACTATGAGACATTAGAGGGAGAAAGACATTACAACAGATTTGGTTATGAAGGAGGAAAAGAATCAAAGCTGACAGGCCAGAAGGATAATATGAGACTATTGAGGAACTTTCCCCTCTTTTTAAAGATGGCAGAGACTTAATCTTTAATATTGATGAGGAAGTGTGGCATTGGAGGGAGAGGGCAAAAGGTGGGGAGAGAAAGGAAAGGAAAAGAGAAGGATGAAAAAAGGGAGGAAACTGAAGATGGAAGAGAAAGGAAGCAAATCATAGAAAAAGGTTCTTGAAATTGTAGGAAGGGAAGAATTCAAACTAGTTGGGTGGCAGAGAGCACACCTTTTCAGTCCAAAGGGGAAGGGGAAGGGGGAGGGGGAGGGAAAAGAAAGAAGGGAAAGGAATAAATATGAGAAAAGGAAAAAACGGAAACAAAATCTTTGTAAATAGGGAGGGGTGGAGGTGTTGAAGATGAATGGGGAAAAAATAAGAACCAAGATATAGCATATAAAGGCACAAACTCCCAATGATGAATGTCATCATATTGTATACCTAAAATGTACCAATTAATTAAAAAAAAAAGCAATCAAAGAAGAGAAAGGGAATATTGGGCCCATAACTTTTCTTTCCAGTGGGAGAAAAAAGAGGGAATTCCAATCTGATGATTTCTGTTCTCCTCTGTTTGATAGCTGCTGATGGAAAGAGGGGCCTAAAAGGTGGAAAATGGTAGTTAAGTTAAAAATAATCATTGTGCAGAATATAGACTAATCATTAGGGAGAAAAGCAAATTGGCATCAAAGTTCCACTTGAGGAGAGACATCATGAATTTATAATGGAACCAATCTTCAGATATGTGAATTTTATCTAAACTTTCTAGAAACCCTTAGTATGTGTGGAATTAGCAACAAATTGGATTCAACCAAGACCATTGCTTTGGTAGTACAGTGGGGCAAAGAAATGAAAAGATAAGCCCTCTGTTCCTTTATTTAAAAGCTCCAAAATTTAAACAACTCTGAAGGTTAATCCTAATTCAGTTGGTGCTAAAACTCTGAATGAATTGATGAACTGATAGCTTTCCCTTATCAAATTGGATAGATATATATATGTATATATATTTATTTACTTACATGTTTTGCCTCACAAATGAATGTGTATGATTACGGAGTGCTGCCTCTTAGTCTGCTGGAGATGTTATATATGGAGTACCCACTCTATAACTATTATTAAAGCCAGAAAAAATTCTGAATTCTAAAGAACATTTGACCCTAATATCTTCAAGAAGAGAGTGTGTAAGTAATAAAGAGATTAAAATGAATTATTATAGAATCTAAGCTGGAAAAGGGGAAAGAGGAAGATGGGAAGGGTATTTGACTGGGAAAAGCTTGAAGAGTCCAGGATATAGATATCCTCAAAGTACTGGGAATCAAATGAGAAAAATTGAAGAATGGGAAATTATAATAAGTAACTAGAATGCTTCAAGTATTTCCAAAGGGAGACAGTTCTGGGTGCTTATAAATTCCAGGGTGGGCCTGTGGGTGTGGGCACCTGGGTTGTAATGGAATGGAAAGTCATTAGAGACGAGGTCAAGAAAATAAAAGGGAAGATAATTAGATAAATTACTCAGAGTAATGGCAAGACTCAAGGTGGACTGGAACTTTGCAAGCCAAGTTCTCTGATTTCTAATGTGTGAAGCACTGTGAAAGGTATGTGAGATACCCAGGGGTATTTAACAAGATCTTTACTCTTCCCCTGGAGGACAATCTTTTTAATAAACAGAAAAATAAAACAATAAGTAATTAGCATTTTACACTGTTTTTGAGATTGTTAGTGATTGGCAAACATTTATGTGCAAATCATGGATATTCAGTAGACTCTATGATCACAAATAGTGGTTAAAAACTGTCAGATTTGCCGAGTAACTTATTAGAAACCATGATTTAAAGAAAGGTAGAATGTGAAATATTGAAAAAATATGTTGTAACTCTAGAAGTCTCAAACTTAAGGCTTCAGGAAGAGTGATTTGTTCTATGTGGTATGTAATATTCTTGCTTTCTTTCTGTTGTTTTTTGTTTTCTAACTTTGCTGCTTTTTTCAGTACTTGGTATCAAACCCAGGAGTGTTCTACCATTGAGCTACATCCTCAGCTCCCACCCCCTACCATCCTTTTATTTTTAGACAGGTCTCACTGAGTTGCTCTGGTGGGACTCATTTTTGAGATCCTGCTGCTTCAGCCTCCCTAAGTGCTTGGATCTGGGATTATAGGTGTGTGCTACTGTTCCCATTTTAATTTTGTTTTAGTAGTCTTATTGATTATATTTTTCTATTTTAAACTGCCTCCATCCCTTTTGGCTTCAAGTGAGTATAAATAACAAGCAAAAATATTCTAATCATTGATGTTCAAAAATAAGCAAACACATTGTAAAGCATTTTCACTTCAAATTTGAAAAACATACTTCATATAACCTAAATATATTTCACTTCTTGTAGAGCAGTGTCAAGTATCAACTGCTGTTTGGAGGCTACATTAGGTTCTCCCAAAAGAAAAGAATCTCCTTGAGTGTTGATGAATGCTATTCTGGGGCTGAGGAGCTGTGGGGGTAGGCTTTGCTGACCACAGGAATGTTGAGCATCAGATGGTGGCTTTGGCCAAAGAACCTTTGATGGATAATGACCTCTCTGAAATGCTGAGACTGATGGTCCTTGTGGGATCCTGCATCACAAAATGTCTGTCACTGATGGAGCATACTATGTGAGACTAGAAATGCAGAATAATAGAGCAATGATACCCTATCTATAAACCACCTGTGCTTAGAAATTCCCCAAATAACAGGTCAAAGTAGATTTCACTATGATAAATAGTCCAATTGCAATGTTGTCCAAAATTTTGTCTGTCTCATTTATTTTAAGCCAGATTTCTTGCCATGTGGCTTTTCTAGTAGACTTCAATGACATGCAACCACCAACCAGAGACCTTGTCATTTATTTAACTCCAACTGTCTTTAATCTTGAGGACTGTGAAAACCCTTAGGATTTCAGTATAATCACAGAATGTTTTGCAGGATCAGATTTTTACTTTTGTTTCTTTGGCTGCCTGTACCAGAGAAGTCTTGTCGTTATCTGTACATCTTTAAATTTGTGAGTTTTTTTCTATTTTTTATCACTTTCTTTCTTTTTTAGTTCACAGCCATGAATGAACCACAGTGCTTCTACAATGAGTCCATTGCCTTCTTTTATAACCGAAGTGGAAAGTATCTTGCCACAGAATGGAACACAGTCAGCAAGTTGGTGATGGGACTTGGAATCACTGTCTGCATCTTCATCATGTTGGCCAACCTTTTGGTCATGGTGGCTATCTACGTCAACCGCCGCTTCCATTTTCCTATTTATTACTTAATGGCTAACCTGGCTGCTGCAGACTTCTTTGCTGGGTTGGCTTACTTCTACCTAATGTTCAACACAGGACCCAATACTCGGAGACTGACTGTTAGCACATGGCTCCTTCGTCAGGGCCTCATTGACACCAGCCTGACAGCATCTGTGGCCAACTTACTGGCTATTGCAATTGAGAGGCATATTACAGTTTTCCGCATGCAGCTCCATACACGGATGAGCAACCGGCGAGTAGTGGTGGTCATTGTGGTCATCTGGACGATGGCCATTGTCATGGGTGCTATACCCAGTGTGGGCTGGAATTGTATCTGCGATATTGAGAATTGTTCCAATATGGCACCCCTCTACAGTGACTCTTACTTAGTCTTCTGGGCCATTTTCAACTTGGTGACCTTTGTGGTAATGGTGGTTCTTTATGCTCACATATTTGGCTATGTTCGCCAGAGGACTATGAGAATGTCTCGGCATAGTTCTGGACCCCGGCGGAATCGGGATACCATGATGAGTCTTCTGAAGACTGTGGTCATTGTGCTTGGTAAGTTCTGTTTTGTCTATAACTTATTGTATGGATTCCTAATGTCTTAATGTGAACTACATTAGTCTATGTAGTGAGTAACAGTATGAATATGTATATTTTCCAGGTGTGTATGCAGGAATTATGAGGGAATGAAGCACCTTTATATTAAATGTCTATGACAAAGCTTTCCAGTCTTCCTACAATTGCAGAATCAGCAAAATATTAGTCTCAGTTCTATAATACAATGATGATATGAACATGTCATTGAATAGTTTGCCTATCTGGTATAGAAAATACGGACCAGAATCACCAGTTGATCAATTTCATTTAGCTTTTGAAAGGTTTTCTTAGAGGCTAAGTAGTGTAACTTTTGCCTGTGGCCTGTATAGTCCAGATTTTCAGATAGAAGGTACTTTTTATAATATGAATATGCTTTCATTTACAGTTATTTTTATTAGTCTATTTCTAAGTAAGTTATCCTTCTGATTCTGTAATTGTTATTACATTATAGCCAAGTTTAACAAGGTTTTGTATAGATTTACTAAACAGAGATTGGAAACAATAATATATTGTGATAGTAATCTTCATGAAAATGTGTTAGTTCCTATGGTTATGTAGTAGTGATGGGATGATATTACAGAAAGAGGAGTTCTGGTCTATCCAAACCTCTTCTTATTGTAAATTTGTGTATTGACCATCTGTCATTTTTTGTTATTTTAGATTAGTGTTTGATGATTTTTTTTTTAACAAAGTAGTCTTTTAAAACAACTTTTAAGGGTTGGGGATGTAGCTTAATGTACCTCCTTAGCTTGTGTGAGGCCCCAGGGTTGATCCAGCACCATAAAACATATAAACAAAACAAACAAAACTTTTGCTATTTCATCTTTTCCTATAGAAATTCAATGGAAAGTTCCTGTAATTTTCTTTGCTCTATGTAAAGCAGTACTGAAGTAATGTAGCCTGGGATTATGTGACTGCTCTGAAACGCTGGGAATTTCACTCATTCTAGTCACTGAAAGGAAACAGAGCTCTGATCCTCATTAAATAAATCAGCATTCTGGTTGGAGCATTGATGCCATTCTGTTTTGGTTTGGGTGAATTTATTATGGAGATCATCTCTAGCTATATTGACTGTGACCTGCCTGTAGACCTGTAAGAATGAGAAGTAGTCCTTGGAATTGCTGGCACAATGGGATCCCTATCTATCTGGAACACTTAAGTAATATCTCCTTTAGGGATCCCATCACGTCAGATGACAGATTGCCTTATTGCCTCCAAGGAAGCTTAGTGGAAGTATAAGAATAGTTTCCCTATGTGTTTAACTATCAACAAGACTTTGAGTATCCTGGTGCTGCAAGGACAAATTTTCCATGATACGGGTGAAAGACATCTTAGTTTTCCGCAGCCACTGTTTTTGTATAAAATTAAATAGCATGAGATATTTTATTTCTATACTGACTCAATTGTTTATTTGCTGGTGGTCTAAATGTTGTCTGATATTTCTCATAAGCATATACTTTTCCTATCATATGCTGCTTATATAGAACTACCAACAGCACATGACTGCTGAATTTGGACTATGAGCCTAGCAAGTTCATGGTTTAATTTTGACCTTTATATAATATCTAGCATATCCTGTTGTGCAATATGCTTAATGATTCATATGAAATTAGCTTTTGTGTCTTTTTGAGGCTTTTTTTTTTGTAGGTTGAGATAATTATTTTAAGGGTTTAGAAGGCTACAGTTCCAGTGCACATCTGCCCTAAATGCCTCTTCCCTAACTCCTAAATTGCACAAACTCCAAACTTGAATATGCCTTCTGACATTTAAGAGAGCAGAATCCATGAAGACTGAATGTTGTTAACTTCTGAAATTGATAACATTATTTCTATAGCTGGAAAATGGAAGAAGTTTTAGAATATGAGAAACTCCAATCATGATGATAGGTAAAGAAATTTGATGAGACAAAGTGGGAAAGTGATTGTAATATAGGAATCAGAGACTAAACAAATGGACCATAGCCTTTTTGAGAAAAGGATCAAGAATGGGAGGATAGGTGGGATATTGGAGGGAGTAGGAAAGCTTAGAATAGAAAATCTACAGTCCTAAACAGTGTTTATCAAGGTGATGCTAATGTTATTTTAAAAAATGTACTCTTCTCCTTGAATTCTGACTATCCCTGTGAAGAAACAAGAGTTCTGATCTACCTGCATCTCATCTCATTGTAAATTTGTGTACAGATAGTCTGTTACTTTTTTTACTTTGATTTGTGCACATTGTTTTTAATATCTAATATGTTATCTTCTCTGGCAGATTGTCAGGTCCTGGAGGGTAGGCTGGGATTGTAATGCTGTGTGGTTTCTTTTTCCCCCACTATCTGTCACAGTTATCTAGCGCAAAGGTGGTGTTCAATAAGTAATTGTTGAATTGCTGAATGAACAAAACCAAGTTTCAGAGCCTTCAAAACTGAAGACCAGAGAAAACCACAGTGAATTCACTATGGTAAATGGCTGTTTATTCAGTTGTATGGGAGCCATATCTAGCTACACTTCTGTTATATTCTCTGCCTTCTAGTCAAAATATATATCTTAGAAAATGCCTGGCTAATATAAGTTGTCAGTAATAAGTCTGTTTTAGCTTCATTGGTTCTGGGGCTGATTAACTGTGTGGAATTCTTCAATTTCATTTTAACTATGTCAGAATAACCTCTGGTCTTTGAACCTTTCAGTATTCATGATCAAGAGAAGGTTTGGTTGGCAATCAATTGAATTCCTAGGAGTCAAGTTAAAAATAAAAGTCTCTTTGAGATTTATGATACCAATATGTAGTTATGCTGCTTTTGAGTGAGTATGGGATTTTAATTACTTTTGTCAAACATTTATGCACCATTACTCATGTGCCCAGCAAAAGTCTATCTTAGAAATTAGTATTTGTGAATAACAGCTCTCAATAGGTATTGTTATAGATTTCTTGTCCTTATTTTCTAGGGGGTTAAAACTGAGGTACAAAGAGATTAGGTAACTTATCCAAGGTCACAGAGCTAGTAGGTATAGGAGATAGGATTCAAACTCTGGCACTTGGGTTCTAGAACCCATGTGTTTTTTACCTCCACGCTGTACTGCTTCTTTTTTTTTTTTAATTCTTAAATTCTTTTATTCGTACATTTAGGTATACAATACGCTTACATTTGTCATTGGGTGCTTGTACCTGTACATGATGTATCTTGGTTCTTATTTTTTCCCCGTTCCCTGTGTACTGCTTCTTTATAATAAAAACAACTACCAGTACACATAGTATTTTGTAGTAAAGTTTGAACAGCAGTGTGCTATTATGTAGCAGCATTGTAATCCTATTAGTACCCATTGATGGTGCCCAGCCCTGTGTGTGCTTTGTGTCTGTAGGCAAAGAAAGCTTTAAGGGAACATTCCTTTCTTTGTTTCTGATGCTACTCAAGACTCTCATTTCCTCTGTCCTTTTCCATTGTGTGGTGCTGGGGAACCAGTAGCTGCATGTCCAAGGTGTGGTTAACTCATTCCTTGTCTCAGCAGTCATGTAACCTCTCCCCAATCTTGACTTCTCCCTACTTCACATTTTACCAAGAATTCCTTTGGAGCCTGTTCCATGGTTAAATCTGTGGCAGTCAAGATGTTCTTCCTTATTTGACCACAGGCTGTCTTTAGTTGTAAGTCCTTTCCTTTCTACCACTATTCCTTGTGGTGATACTTGTTGGGGATAATTTGAGAAGAAATAAACCAGAATTTGGGAAGAGAAAATCATGATAAAAGTATGGAGGTTTTTGCATCTGAGTACTGGAGGGACATAAAGTGAATTAAATCCAGGTAGGGCTTTTCTCTTTGGGGGGGAAAAAGAAGGAAACACTGTTTTTCTAGTTTGATCTATATAGGCTGGAAATGATCACTGCTGAAGCTAAATTAGCCTTATTACCTATGTAGTCTGTGGCCAAGTCAACAGTAGGCATTACTTTTTGAGTGTTGTTTGTACCTAGCACCAGAGAAAGCTGCATCCCTCCCCGCCCCCATTTTATGTATGTAGCTTCCAGGTTAGGATAGTGTAAGTCACTTGTCAAAAATCATTCTTTTTGTAAGTAGCAGACCTGGAATTCAACTCTAGGAATGTTTTGGATTCCCTTCCACCACAGGACATTGAGCTTCTTGTATTTCTCTTTTCAGTTTGGTTCATCAAATGTGTTGTTGAGTGCCAATTGTGTGCTGAAAGATGAAAAGATAAGGAAAATTCTTTACAGAGCTTATGGTGTAGTAGAGGAGGTCAAGAAAGTGTGTGCTGCAAAGCAGTGGGGTCCCTATGCTAGTAGAGGTGTGACCTTGAGTGGAAGGGAAGGAAGGAATGGTTTCCTTTTCTTGATGAAAATGGAGGAGTTTGTCATGCTGTAGAATGGGGTGAAGGAGACGGTAGGTGATAGAATGAACAATAGTTATTACCTTTGAGAAACTGAAAGTAGTTAGGTATGATTTGCACATCATAGGTCTGCTGGATGGAATTTTGACTGGAGTGTCAGAGTTTTCCAAGCATACTAAGGAGTATGAGTTTCAGCCTATAGTGACAGGATCTAAAGAGATCCCCAAGATAAATGAACACCAATTCTTTGTAGATATGAGAATCATACAATTAATCACACAAACTGAGACACTTTCAACAATGAAACAAACATTCATTGCTTGGGGTTCTAACACAATAGCCATAAACCCAAGACTGTTCTGAGCAGTCTTCCTGCTTCTTGTTTCTGCTTCCTGTTGATAGGTAATTTATGTATGTTCCTTTTAGGTTCTCTTTTGGCTTTTTAAATTCAGAGCTCAACACTGGGCTTCTTCCATTCTGTGAAAATGGTAATGAACAGTTTTTAAAAGGCAAGTGTTTATCCAGATTAAGAATTTCAGAATGCCAAAGGATCCTTCGAAATCACTTTATCCAGGTCCTTCATCTTAGAAATGAAGAAACTGAAGCTCCCCAGTTAACTGAAAAATTGAGGTCTGAGTTAGCTCATGACCCAAACCAAGATCCAGGCCTCCTGCCTTCCATTGAGGTGCTGTTTTTGTTCCACCCATGCCTTACTCAGTGCCATCCACACTTGCCCTCATTTTCTTTCTTGTGAAGATCAACATGTCTTTATGTGGCCAGCCAAGATTAGGTGTAAACATTGTGGCTATAAAGGTAACTGGCTCCCAAAACATGGCCTTGAATTTGGCCTCATTATAAACAACTGGTTATTTCTGTAATGAAGCTTCAACAAATATATCTGAGACTGAGTTGCTTGTGTATTATGTAGTTTTTACACATATGTAACATATCACCTTTTTAATAGCAGCATGTATTATTGCTTTTATTCAGCTTTTTAAAAATTAAGTTTGTGCTTTATAGTGTGTGTGTGTGTGTGTGTGTGTGTGTGTGTGTTTTCTCACCTCTGAGAGTAACTGGTTTCATTCTGGCATTATCTGGGTGATTCTGGACAAATTACTTTCTCTGTGCATTTATTTTTCTGTGCCTTCATCTGTAGTATGAAGTTGGCCAATTTGATTTCTAAGATTATTTAGGATTCTTTTTATTATCCTATAAATAAAATTCTAAGGACAATAACAATTGTGGATCACCATGTAGGGTTTTCTTGTGGAAAATTTAGAAACAAAACTGGAACAAAACCAAAAGACAATGATTCCTCTCTGTATAAATGGTGTGCGTCACCTTCTCTAATTCACTTTTAGTTACACTATTTCCCATTGAAGGAGTGCATTTATGAAGGATTATCTCAAAGAAGTGAACCTTGGGGTGTTACTTTTCTGTGGAGAGCTGTGTGGCAGGAAGGGTAGGCATCCCAGTTGGTCTTGTTGCTAGGGGAAGGGAGTGGACATAGAGTCCCTTATTCCCTGGCCACAGGTGAGCAAACTACACATCCTGTTGCTCTGAAAAGAAATTAAATCTACCCCACCTCTGCTCAGGTCCCAATGGCATCCCTGTGAAGGACGCTTTGAGGAAGAACCTGAGTGAACCTTCATAAGAGCCTTGATTGTTTGGTGCTGTGGGCGGTGCCAGGAGAGACACCCTACAGCTGTTCCACAGTGCTGCCCAGACCCCAAACCCTGGGCGCAGGTCAAGAGAGAAAACAGCTTTCAGGCGCCAGCTCTTTATACCCTTTTGTTGCCCATCTCTATTCAAATATTTTTACTCAGAAGAAACTTTTAAACAAGAACAAAACCCCCCAAAACCACACCAACTTAACAGATTTCCTTTTGAGGTATGGACAGAGAAGCCAGAACATGAAGCTCTTTCTTATTTTAGATCTGCTGAGAGTGATTCAGACTTGTCTAACCGAGGCTCTAATGTTGCAGAGTTATTTGTCCTTGTCATTAAAGCGAATAAATGATGCAAAAGTGCCTTAATTGTTATGATGACTAAGAATCACTGTTGCCTAGCTGTCAAGAGCTCAAATTTAGAATAAAATAGGCCAGTTTGAATGTTAGCCCCTCTCTTTCTAGCTCTATAATCCTGAAAAAAAATCGGCTTAGCTTCTCAGAGCTTCAGTTTTAGAATTAAGAAAATGAAGACAGTAGGACATTTTTCATCAAGTAGTTATGACCATTAGATGAACTGACTTATGTAAGATACAGAGTTCAGTGTCTGACTTACAGAGAACTCCCACTAAATGCAAATAAGTGTTATCATTACTGTTGGGTTCTTTCCACATGAACATCCTTCTTTGTCTTTTTCAGATACACATTTGCACCTAGTGACACACCAAACTCACTATTTACAAAATGGTGGGCCTTCATTCTGTGAAGCATAGAAGTACCACAGTGTTTGAGCAGCCAGCTCCAACAGTGTGATGTAAATTTGATTCTGAATGACCTTTGCTTTTTTAAAGGTACAATTTTTAAAAGCTTTTTATTTTTCCCCTTTTTCCCATTAGTATATGTTTGTGATACATAATACATTCATGTGGGAAAATGGTACATATACATATTGCATCTTGCTCATTTTTATATTCCCTTCCTCTTTCTCTGGAATATTTGGAAAACGGCAGGTGGGTGGGATTGTGAGACCTTGTTGCTGTTCTCAAGCTGGTCTCAACTTCAGTGTAACCATCTATGAACCCTTTATTCTAGGTTTCATCATCATGCACCTAAGAAGAAACACATTTAACTCTTTCTAAATGTCTACCGCCACTACATGACTCTTTTTGGAGAATTCCTATGGACATTTCATCATGGTACATCTTATTTTCTCAGCAACCAGAACAGGTTCCAATGCATACGGAACTCTAGATAATTGCTGAATGGCTAAATGAAATACATCATTTTTTCTGGATTGGCAATTTTACAGGTTAATTATAATAGAAACATACCTATGTAACCTGAAATTCAATGTGATATAAAAGTTCCATTCAAGAGATACTTGTCATAAGTGGTTATAATAAAGCAGTTCCACATCCTTCCTGTCATGGACATTTTTAAAGCTAAGTTCCAGTGAGAGTTTGTTAATAATAGTTTATTTTGTCAACAAATATGTATTAAATATCTTTGAGGATCTCCTTTAAGGGACAGAGATTTAAAAAAAACAACAATAATGAAATATAGACCCTGTTCTTAAGGAGGTCTCATTTTAGTAGATGAGGACAGATAATTTAAATAAAAACAAAATAATATAGTAAATAAACATAACATAATAAAATATGCCAGGCACTATGGGAATGATATATTGTGATTGAGCAATATCTGGAAAAGACTTAAAGATGAAAATGGGATTGGAATTACATCTTACACAATATGTGGGGGTTTGCCAAGTGAACCCAGGCAGAGGAATTATTCTGTTATTTTTTATATAGTGATTGAATGAAATTTTTGATCACTTTATTTAAATTGCAATTATGTTACTTGTATATGACACTGACCTTTATTAGGCATGTGAATCTCGTGTAAATTCTTGGGAGTTGGAGAGAATTTTTCATAATTATCATATAATAATTTGCTTATAATTTTGCCTATATTTTGTACTAGTATAATACATTCATTTTTTGAATTGAAAGATAATGGATTAACATTAAATTTAACTGGACGTCCTGTATTTTATCTGGCAACCCTAAAGTGTGTGTGCGTGCGCACACACACACACACACACACACACACACACCATTGTCTGGGGAATAAAGCCTTTTAGATGACAATCAACTCTATATAATATAGATTTTATTCTTTATTGTGTAAGCTTTCATATTATCCTGAAGATATAAGTATGCAGGGATTTCACTTATTTACTATTTCTGATTTATCTTTGAGTTATTTGGAGATAAAGAAAGCATTATATCCAATTTGTAGAATCTTATATTTGTTTCCCAGAAATGATGCTTGCCTATGAACAGGTAATGTTGTATACCTATAGGTCAACATTGAATTATTTTTTTCTTTCACATATACCTTGTCCTGTTCTTTTAAAAAGGCATTTTAATGAATTTTTTTTCCATGTAAGCCAAAGATTTTTGTGTGTGTATTTGTACTTTTGATATTTTTTTCCTCCTTTGAGGTCTAAACTACAGCCTTCTGCCTCTGAGAAGCTACTTTTCATTCGTGTATTTTAGTGAAGATGATAGTGTCTAGACTGAATGTGGTCACGGCTTTACTTAAACCCAGGCAGGTCTCCTCTACCAATAGAGGACTTCTTGTAATGATCCAAAGCAAATATGAAGTTCTAATAGGGTGACATAGCAATAACAGGGTCTTTTTGAAGAAGTGGGATTTAATCTGGCATTGAGAGACTGGAAATTCATGGCTTCACCTATTTATCCTGCCCAAGTAGACTTTTATTGACACAAAGAACACTGCATTTTAAGTAGGGTTTTCCATGAGTTCATTCTAAATGGGCATTTCTGCACTTCAGAAAGCTTCTCTTTATGTGGCAGGCGTGAATTCATTCACTGGAGTTATTTTCCTTTCTCTTGGGACAGGGAAGATGGCTGTGTAGGAGCCTACCCTTAAAGGACCTGCAGAAGAGACTGTTGAAGTGAAAAGTCCATAGACTTTTTTGTAGCCAGCAAGTGATTCACTATTTTATGCTAAAGGGAGGATTTGCTTTGCTAACCTTGTTGAGCCTGAGGTGCACAACACTGCTTTTTGTATACTGGCCCAGGTCCAAAGAGAAAGCCATGCTATAAACTGAGGAGTTGCAATCAGTGAGTTTCTGAACAAAACAAAAGGAGCTGTATTTAGACATCCTTTAAAAAGAGTGCTTGTGTGCATGTGCACACACACGTCTGCATGTGTGAGTGTAATGATCAAATGGTCCAATAAACAAAAGTTGTAGAGATTAGAGTAATAGGTTTATTTAATTTGGCAAATTCTCATGGTTTGGGGGAGAAGTGAAGATGTTTTAATCAAAAATACTTTCTAAGATGTATTTTAAAGTATTTCCAACTTGATATGAGAATAATTTACTTAGAGGGAGGAAAATGATATAGAAACCAAGTTTGATTAGTCAGATTAACTGTATGAATGTATAGTAATACGTTCATATAGCAAAATAAGATTTATATAACTTTAGAATGGAATTTTCTAATATTTTCCTTCAATCTGAATTAGTTCTACTTCTTCTAAAGCAAGAAGTCTGACACTGAAGCATTCATAAACTTAAAAAAATGTTAAAATTAGAAATAGGAACAGAAAATACATTTCCACTTGCATATATTGAGTAGTATATAGTATATTACACAACAAATGATTTATTTCTATTGTATTTACATTGTATGTTATCCCTTAGTAATTATTGATTTATAACTTTAGTAATAATGTGTGTCGCTTTGTTGCTATGTAGCTTATTGAGATTATGGGATATTTTGATTAGACTGAGGACATTTTTGTACTATGTTTATAAATAGGATATTTGAATTAGGATTAGAGTAACATTGATCTTTGTAAAGAAGGCATATTTGTTGAAATGTATATTTATCTACCCTAATCTTTTCAACAGTTTAATGTATAGCACAATTAAAATATCTTTAGTTTGCTACATTTTTCTCATTTAATCTAACTAAAGTTTTCATAAATGTTAAATCATTCTGTAGAAATTATGTGCAGAAGACTTGATATTTGATCAGGATTTTTAACCACAGATTGTGACAACTAAACCAGAAACCCCATTTGTTTTTCATCTTACATATCCATTTCCTTGGCCTTATTCTGTAGCTAAACTTTATAAAAAATATTTTATTTTTCTTTTATGATTTAGTATATAATAAATCTTTTTTGCTTGTAGCTTGGTTGCTTTCAATTGTGTTTTAAATTTCTTCTAATAGTTTTAACTTTTCCTGGGACAATATAGTATTTTTTAGTTTTCAGAGTTTCTAAAACATGATGATGGTCAACATTTTATCAGGACTCCGAATTTGTCCCAAATGGGATATAAACTTGAGCAAAAATCTTAATCTGTCTGAATTTCTGTCCCCTCATCTGCCAAATATAGAAAATACTTTTATAAAGATCATATGTGAATGTGAAAGTCCTTTTTATAGGAAGTGCTGCAGAAATGTAAGCTATGAATGCTTTTACAGCTGCAGCTTATATAGAGCAATGACCTAAATGAAAAACAAACTAAAAAATTGTTTGGAATGTTAAGTGAGAAATGTGATGTCATGTGCATTGCCTGTGTTCGAAACTCCAGATTTGTTCCTGGTTGGTGTGACTTCTGGCAGTCCACTTAACCTTTATGACCATTTCTTTATCTGTGCCATTAAGGCCTGCACTACGTCATTGTGTCTTCAAGTGTGGTCCAAGGACCACCTGCATCTGAATATTCTGGCCTACTTGTTAAACAAAGCTGAGTGTTGGGCCTCAGCCCAGATCTGCTGTTGCAGAATCTTTGTGTTGGCATCTAGCATTAATACCTTAGGCACTGCAGCATGACATTACTGTGATTCTCTGGCTTTGATTTAAATTACCTGACATTCAGCTTGTCCTTGCACAGTTTTATTTTATTTTATTTATTCTTTATTGGAACATGTTTGAAGTATATATTGATTATACTCATTGTTGGTAGTTGATGCATATATACAACATACCTTAATTTTTATTTTTGTGCTCTCACCTCCCTCCCCCTCCCTCCATCTCTTGGACACCTTTCCTATTTTTTTTTTCTCCATACGTGTTTGTATACATAGTGATCATGTTCCTTGTAGGGATGTGGTACATTTACACAGCACATCACAATTCCTTTTCTTTTTTTATTCCATTTCCCTCCCCTCCCATCCCCCTCCCTCTGTCCCTAGGTTCCCTTCCTATATGCTAAAGATCTATCTTGCTATTTCCTATTGTCTTTTATTTTGCTCTTTATTTATATTTTGGGTTCTCACAGAAGAGAAACCATGTGCTATTTAAGCTTGTGTATCTGATTCATTTTATTTAATGTTAAGGTGCATTTATTTTCCTAAAAAAGGACTCAAATTTATCTTTCTTTATGGCAGGGCAGTACTCTATTGTAAGTACCACATATTCTTTCTCCATTCACCTGGTTATGGGCAATTAGGCATCTTAAAGATTTAGCTATTGTGAATTGTGATGCTATAAACATGGGTATGCATGGGTGTGCACGTATCACTGTAATATGATGTTTTTAACTCTTTTGGAAAGATACCTAGAAGGAGAATAGTTGGGTCAAATGGACTTTTTAGTTTTAGGTTTTGAGGATTCTCCATACTGATTTCCATTAGTGACTGTACTAGTTTACACCCCCACCAACAATGAAGAAGGGTTCTTTTTTCCTTATAGCCATTCTTTCTGAAGTGAGATGGAATCTCAGTGTTGCTTTAATTTGGATTTCTTGATTGGCCAGCAATATTGAACATTTTTCACGTATTTATAGGCCATTAGTACTTCTTCTGAGAAATGTCTGTTCACTCAGTTCCTATTTTTTGATTGGGTCTTTTATTTTGACAGGGTCTAATTTTTTCAAGTTCTTTATATTTTCTAGATGTTAATCAATTGGCAGAGGAGTATCTGACAAAAAATTTTCCCATTCTGTAGTTTGTTCCTTCACTCTGTTGATTGTATCCTTTGCTGTACAGAAGCTTTTTAATTTGATATGATCTCATTTGTTGATACTTGGTATTATTTCTTATGTAATTGGTGTTCTTTTCAGAAAGTCCTTGCCTATGCCTACATCTTAAAGAGTTTTACTTGTTTTGTCTTCCAGCAGACTAAGTGTTTCTGTTTTAATAGATCTTTGATGCATTTTTGACTTAGTATAGTACATAGAGATATGGGTCTAGGTTTAATTTTCTACATGTGGATAGTCAGTTTCCCCAGCACCATTTATTAAAGAGGCTGTATTTCTTCCAGTGAAGGTGTTTGGCCCCATCAAAGATAAAGTGGCTGAGTGTGATTGGAGTTGTTTCTGCATCTTCTGTTCTGTTCCACTGATCCTTGGGTCTGAGTTGTTTTTTTTGT